CCTTAAATTACCTTAAGCGCTGTCGAGATAGAAAGGGAGCATGCCTATCCATGCCTATATTAACATGAGCCAGTTTCCGTCCTGATAATTTGTATCGACAGAACAGCTCGCGCTTTAAGAGATGATGAGATGAAGCTAAGCCTCATTTGCTAAGAATCTTAAGCAGATCCTAATTGCACGCTGAGATTTAACGCTAAAGCAGGCCCTTTCTCCCATTTATTGTTATTTTAGGTAACTCAATATTAATGCACTGCATACATTCGATAAAATTAACTTATATCATTTTACATTAATTATAGAAATGAAATACCACACTTGAGTATATTGCACAAGGGTGGGCTGAGGAATGCGTAAATAAGCGCAATCCATACGGGACGAAAGCAGCTGAGCGATACGTTGGCGAGAATATTGCAATTTTATCATAAGTCAGCAACTTTTAAAAATGTCAACATCTCAAATTATCACATTTGAGGTAGAAAATTTGAATGGAGTTTGGAAGAGTCGTTTAAAAGCTTATCCAGCTCGAATATTTTACCTAATTGTGAAAATTTGTCTTTTTAGTTTAAATTCATGGTAAGTTGAATCGATGTAGCTAATCGTGATTATATTTACTATTGAAAATTGTTATCAATTATATGCGCCCAGACCTCAGTTTCTCAGTTTCTAGCATTAAACATGACAATAGCCTCCAAGCCATTCTAGGACTAGCATCAGATAAATCTCTATATGGATATCAGAAATTTGCATTATATCGTAATACTCTAATAAATACCTATTTTATACAAATAAATATCAAATTTTTGTGGTTAGTTCGACCTTTTTTTTGCAATTTGGTCGTATTTTCGTGGAAACATAGGCAAAAGCACCTTGTCTGGCCTAATAATTTGCTGAGTCAGACCATAGGCTTGGTACCTCTCAGATGTTTCGCCGGCACCGTCAGTAAGTCTTGTCATTTTTAGCGATACAATACAATTCGTCAAAGAGACAAGTAAAGTGTAGTCCTTTCTAGAGTATATTTAACTGTATGAGAAATGCAAGGTCTAATCAAATCATTGTGGGGAATTTAAACTACCAGTCAATTATCACCTTAAACGAAATAGGGTGGATAAATCTAAAATATCTGATTTACTGGTAATCGGTGACTCTACTTACAAACGATAAATAAGTAATCTCGTCGATAGGAATGTTGATAAGACCCAGGCATGTTCGAAACTGCAGTGAGTGGTTGAGTCTGTGAGAATATCTTTCAGGAAGCAAGGCTATGTGAAATGCAATGGAATAGTAAAATCTGTTCATATAATTGTGGGAAAACGTAATAAGGTGATTACATTTGATATATCATATTCTCTTGTTATCTCGAAAACCTACTAACAAACGAAAAAACAATTACTTAAAATTTTCTACCTCAAGCGATTACCTTATGCCTGTGACTAGTTAGAATATCACATTTCATGGTTATTCACATAATTCAAAAATCAACAAATAATAAACTTACATTGCGAATACTCTAAAACAAAAATTATATATTGTATATATTAAGATCTATGTATATTCATCTTTCAGTCATGCATACGCGTAAGTTTATTTTAAAATGTACATGTCAGTTGTATCATAAATACCTTTATTTGCATTAAATAATTGTCATGCCTAGTGCTAACTTAGCCTAAAGATTTAGAGCAGATGATGCCCATGCACATATCAGAGCGAAAAGCATTCCCATCCAATAGTATGGTACTAAGATGATGTTCATGTGTATGTGTGTGTGTATATGTGTCACCCGTTACGTCCTCGCCAGGCAAGGATACGAAAAATACTACATATTTCATTGCAATTAATTTTATTGTATTTTTTACAGAGCTACTGAAAAGTGGTTCAATCAAAATCGATTTTACAATTACAAGAATAACAGTTGCTCATCTCCTTGTGAACACTATACTCAGGTAAGTGAATTCTTACTACTTTATTCTAGAGTTAGTAGTGTCTCCTAAATACTCTAATTGTGTCCTCATTTCACAATGGCAAGCCGATTTGGCCTTATAACTGGAGAGTCCAGTGACCAACTAAGTGGTACATGTTGCTATGACGTACCTGCAGGCAATGAGTCCCTTATTGGCTACATAGCCAGCCTCAGTCAGTCCGTCGTGAAACTATTTCTATCGTATGATGGCTGTATAGGCCAGCAGGGACGGGCTCTATGCAACTGGATGGACTCGTTTTCACGAACTGCTCGGCCCCGGTTCTGTTGAATGGCGGACAGACCACGTAGGCTAGTTGAGCCAAAAGCAGACTCGTGGGTCTACCTTTGGACAATCGACAGTTTTGCTTTAAAAAAGCAAGGAAACTGAAGATGCCTTTTGGCGACAATCACGATGGAAACAACTCACTCTATAATCGAGATGAGGCTTTTGTGGGACAAGCTCAAACCCGAGTTCCTGTCTATTGTTGATAAATCTTTGGGTGTTTCCATTGAAAGCGTAAATTTCGGAAGAACTTTGCGCTGTTCGTGCTAAAAATATAAATTCTGCTGGAATTTTTATTTCATACTATCAATGGAAGCTTTATTCATTGTAGAAAGCAGAAAATTTT